CCTCCAGCTGCTCTATGGGAGAAAGATGAGCAATCTCCTCCAGTGCGATTAATTGCCTTCAAAAACCTGCTGGATTGTCAGTTTTGGGTTGGTTCCAACGCAATGATACACAACAACAACCACAACTCTGATAAAGCATCATTCAAGGCATGTGAAATACAGAGATAAATAAGATAGTGCCTGTCTTTGATGAGCTGACAGACTAACAGAGAAGAATGATAAATGATATAGTCTGGTAGAAGATTATAAGTAACTACCACAAGGAGTAGACTCCATATCCCATGGTAACAGCAGCCAAGAAAGAAAAAGATAAATTGCATTGAGCGCCACTGTCTTTGAATTATGGTGTTGATGAAGAGTATTGAATATATCCACAACTGGTAAAAGAACAAGTAAGTCTGTCTTAGAGGAAGTACAAACCATTCTATCTTTAGAAGCAAGGACAGTAAAACTTTGTCTATGTATTTTGGCATGTTGTTAGGAGGCACCAGTACTTGTAAAAGGACATCATGGTAGGAAAGGTGGAGGGTCAGGGAAAGAAAGGAAGCTACCCACCCCCAAAGTTAGAGATTCACAGAATGACGATGGGCTTGAGAGTGGGGGAGATTGTGAGGATGGCACAGGATAGGGTAAGGTTTCTATTTGTTGTTCATAGGATTGCTATGAGTCAGAGGGGACTGAATGTCACTTAACACCAACCACAACCACAACCACAAAGAGATATTATGATGAGTAAATGAATTAAGATGTGCGAAGAACTTTTAAAGCTCACATACTAACATCGGTACCAGTTTTCTGATTGCTCTATGTGGCAAACCTATATGTGTCAGGGTAGAACTGTGCTCTGCAGAGTGCTCAGTGGCTGATTTCCTGGAAGTAGAGCATTAGACCTTTCTTCTGAAGTACCTCTGGGTGGATTAGAAATGTCGCTTTGTCAGTTAGCAACTGACTACATTAACAATTTACACCACCAGGGACTCCAATGCTATAAATCCACCACTGTTGAGTTGATTGCAACTCGTCATGAACCTAGAGGAGTTCTGGTGGCATAGGCCATAAGGAGTTGCATTGCTAACCCAAAGGCCTCCCCTCCCTAGTTGTTTGAATCCACCAATGGCTCTGAGGGAGAAAAATGGCCAGTTTCCTCTTAGTACAATTTACATCTTCAGAAAACCTGCTGGACAGTCAGCTATGAATCGGTTGTAACTCAGTGGCAATGAGTTTTTTGAGAGCATAGTGAACCAATAGAACAGAGTAGAACTGCCCCAGCTGTAAATCTCTATAGGAGAAGAATGACATTTCTTTCTCCCAAAGAGCAGTTGGTATGTTTGAACCACTGATCTTTCAGTTAGAAACCTGGAACGCTACCTATTGTATTAACCAGTGCTCCTTTCAATTATTACATAGGGAGCACTAGATATAGTAGTTGCTATTATAATTAGTGAGTGCTGGTGGCCTAGTGGCAAGAAGCTGTGCTGCAATCTCAAAGGCATGAGGTTCAAGGCCACCAGCTCCTCCACAGAAGAAGGTTAGGCAATCTCCTCCTATGTGATTAACTGCCTCTGAAAACCCACTGGAGGGTCAACTATGGGTCAGGTTCTGAATCCATGGTACACAACAATATTATTATTATTATTATTATTATTATTATTATTATTTCTGTGACAGAGGAAGTAAACAGAAAAGATCATGGAAACACAGAGGGGGTGATCTAACTCAGGCTTGAGTGAGAAGCATTTGAGCTGAGCCCTACAAGGTAAGAAAACTTTTGTGACACCCAAAAGGAATATATGACTAGGCAGTATATGTATGACAACAATCTGGAACAAGAGGTGCATTGTTGGGTGGACTGGGGGACGAGAAGAGGAGGGAAGGAGGAAGAAAACGTGCAACAATGAACATAAATAAATAAAAAGATAAGAAAACTTTAACCAACCGAGGATGCAGAGGCAGGAAATTCACCCTAGAACTAACTTACATGCAAATTTGTAAACAGAAGATAACATGACATTATTGAGGAACTGAAAGCAATTAAGTTCAGCAAGAGTGAGATTAAGGGAGGGGGTGGTCACAAGAGATGAAACTTGAGGGGTCATGGAGTGCAACCAAGTTTGGACTTTATCCTTCAGTTGATGGGGAGTCACTGGACTGTTTCACGTAGAGTAGTGACTTGATCAGAGTAATGTGTTGAAAGAGTATGCTGGCAACAGTGTGGAGAATAATGAAGTAGAAAAAGGAAGATGGGGAGAAAAAACAAGTTAGAAAGCTGTTGCTCTAGACCATATGAAAAAGTATGATGAAATCCTTGAAGTAGGAAAGTAGCTCCAGGGATGGAGAGAAGGGAATAGTAGATTAGACCTCTATTCAAGAGGCAGAATTGATGGGACACACTGTGACTGTAGAAATGTGGAGAGTAAGGGAGAGAGAAGTATCAAGGATCATGAGCAGGACTTTTGATCCACACAAGAAGATGGATTAAATGACCTTCATGACAGGAAATGCAAGGAAGAATTGAAGCTGGATGGCGATGGGAAGGTGATGAATTCTCTTATGGGCAGGTTGAACTCAAGAATTCCAAGTAGATGTTTGAGGTTCAGAAAAAATGGCAATTCAGAAATAGAGATTTGGAGACGCCAGTTGTTGGATTAGAGAACTCTGGTGGCCTAGTGGTAAGGACCTGCACTGCCAACCCAAAGGCATGTGGTTCGAATCCACCAGTTGCTCCACTTCAAGGGATAAAGATGAACAATATCCTCCCATGCAATTTCCAGCCTCTGAAAACCCACTGCATGGTCAACTATGAGTCAATTTAGACTCTACATAACAACAACAATAAGAAAAACAGTGGCTGAGTGGCAGGTTAGGTCATGATAGTGGATCAAACCGCTTTGTTGATTGAGCAAGAGATGATCTTCTAGCAATACTCATGTTAAAGAGAAGAACTATTGTTTTTGGTGCCTTCGGGTCAGAACCAACCCATAGCTGACCCTCCAGTAGGTTTTCAGAGGTCCTAATTGCATGAGAAAAGATTGTCCATCTTTCTTTCATGGAGAATCTAGTGGATTCAAACCATTTACCTTTGGATTGATAGATACAACAGAGCCAGAAAGTGCACAAGGCTTTGTCTCACATACTTGTTGACTATTTCTTGGAGAAAGATATGATGCTTGGAAAGGTGGAGAGTCGGTGAAGGAGAGGAAGACCCCCTCCCCCAGTCAGGTGGATTGACACAGTGACTACAGTAAGGGTCTCTAGGGTGTCAGAAAGTGCGAGGATGGAACAGGACAGGACAGGATTCGAATTTGTTGTCCACAGGGTCATTACGAGTCATACTCAACTTGATGGCACTTAACAACAACAGCAGAAAGAGTAAGGAAAGAGCTTGAGGAAGGCAAAAATAGAAACCCAGATTGTGGTATTATGGAGAATAAGTGGGCTGATCGGTCTTGTTAAGGATGAGGATAAGATTGTGTCCTTGACCCTTAGTATCTTGAATCTTGGTGGGAGTGGAGACTTCTTGAATACTGCAAAACCCAGGGCAGCTCTGATACCAGATGACTGGCTCAGGTGCCTGCCTCTCACAAAGTCTTCTCTATTGTAGGGCTTTCTTCCCCTCCATCTGCCTTAGTACCTAGTACTAAGGTGGCTCAGGGAATTGCAGCATTCCTTCTGGGCCTTAGAACAACCTTTGATCCCTAGTCCACCCACGTCATCTGCGAGGTCTAGGTCTGGTGGAGACATCTATTGGGAGACCAAACAGGAAATGTCTGGGTGTCTTATACATACAGAAGGTCTTGGTTTAGCCTGAGGTTGTAGAGGTGGGGGGAGCAGTGAGTAAGACTGAGAACTGACTTCCCAGAGTGGTGGATGAAACCTTCTGTTGCCCACCCCATCTCAATATAAAGTAGGTGTCTACCATGGCAAGCTAACCCAGTTCTAAGCCATTGTTATCTTGGACCTTGGAGTCGTAAGAGGCCTCTAATGAGCTGGAGTCCAAAGTAGCATCCTACTGCTCAGGAATTTGGCTCAGTCTGCCCTCGAGGGGCCCCACAGCATGGTTCCTGGGCAATGTGTTGAGCAACAGGCTTTGGACAAAGAGCCATGCCTGCCAACCTCCTGACCTGGAGTTAGCGCCGCTGTCACAACACCACTGCCATCCACAAGGTAAGCCCGGGCTCACTTGTGCCTAATTGCTGATCTGTTGAGAACAACTGCTCATTTTCTTTTCCTACCAGATCAAACAAAGGTATGACCAGCATCTGTCCCTCTCCTAACCCCATAGTACTTTTCTACACAATAAAGGCTTCTCTGAATTGATAGTCCCTTACTGGCAAGGTAAGCACAGCCTTACTTGTGCTTGTGTACCAATCTGTCGTGAATGTTGTTGTTGTGTGTGATCAAATCAGAACCAACTAGTTCCTCCAGTGAGTTTTCAGAGGCTGTAAATTGCACAGATTGTCCATCTTTCTCCCACAGAGCAGCTGGTTGGTTTTGAATTGCCTGCTTTTTGGGTTGGAAGCTCTAGTGGCTGCAGTGAAGATTTTGACTCTAGTAATTCGCTTATTGGGTAAATTACCATCATCACCTTCTCAGAAACCAGCCACTTGTCTGGGCCTAGGCTTTGTCTGGGTGCCAAGCTAAGGCCTGTGCCTACGCAGGAGGCAATGGCATTTGGCTCTACTTTCAAAGTTGGGTGTTTTTTTTCCCTTTCTCGTGTTATTTCTAAAGATAACAAAGGTCAAAAGGCATCCAGCATTTTCTAGTTTCTCATAAAGCTTCTGGTCAATATTTAATCTGGTTTATGGATTTTTTTTTTAGGCCTTCTAGATACCTTCTTGAGCCTGTTTGTGGCCACCCACAGACACTTGTAAGGAGTAGAGAAGTTAGCCTGCTAGAGACAACCTGGGATGAGGGATTAGAGGCCAGGATCCAAGGAATAAGAGCAGGAGCTTGAAAACAAAGGAGCAGCCTCTGAAGACACATCTACTGAGAGGTCCGCCATGGCCTCTCTTGGTCTCCAACTTGTGGGCTACATCCTGGGCCTTCTAGGACTGTTGGGCACCCTGGTTGCCATGCTGCTCCCCAGCTGGCGAACAAGTTCTTACGTCGGTGCGAGCATTGTCACAGCAGTCGGCTTCTCCAAGGGTCTCTGGATGGAATGTGCTACCCACAGCACGGGCATCACCCAATGTGATATCTACAGCACTCTCCTAGGCCTGCCTTCTGACATCCAGGCTGCCCAGGCCATGATGGTAAGCTCCAGTGCCATCTCCTCGCTGGCCTGCATTATCTCTGTGGTGGGCATGAGGTGCACAGTGTTCTGCCAGGACTCCCGCGCTAAAGACAGAGTAGCGGTGGTAGGTGGAGTCTTCTTCATCCTTGGAGGCCTCCTGGGATTCATCCCTGTTGCCTGGAATCTTCACGGGATCCTGCGGGACTTCTACTCCCCACTGGTGCCTGACAGCATGAAATTTGAGATTGGAGAGGCACTCTACTTGGGTATTATTTCTTCCCTGTTCTCCTTGATTGCTGGAGTCATCCTCTGCTTTTCCTGCTCATCCCAAGGAAACCGTTCCAACTATTTCGAGGGCTACCAGGCCCAGCCCCTTGCCACCAGAGGCTCTCCAAGACCTGGCCAACCTCCAAAAGGCAAGAATGAATTCAACTCCTACAGCCTGACAGGGTATGTGTGAAGTGCTGGGGGCCAGAACTGGGGGAGTGGCTGGGTCTGTGAAAGTCAATGGACAGTTCCCAGAGCCACAGGTGAGGGGCATTGCCACGGGATCGCATCAGAAGGTGCTGCTGTTGAGGATAGAGTGACTTTGGTCATCGGATCAACCAAAGGCAGAAAGGGGAGCTGGTGTGGCAGCGCGTGGGTTGACTTATCAAGGATGATTGCCACCCCAGGCTTCCTGTTTCCCTCACCTTAACCCCCAGCCTGAACCCTGAACCCCTAGTCCCCCAACTCCAAGCCCCACCCCTTTACCCAAGGCCAGGTCCCCAGGGACTCCTCTCTGCCCTTTTTGTTTACGCGGGAATCCACCCAACACCGCAATTTACATCCCACTGACTGACCCACTCTATGATCTAAGACCCTCCCTCTGCTTGAAGTTGGCTCTTAGCTCATTGATGGGGTTTGGTGGGTGGTAGAAGGAGGAATGGTGCCATTTATAGACACTGTTCCGACCTTCCTCTCAAACTTGCCTCTAAAGAAACAGATCAGGCAGCTTCCATTCCACTCTTGGTATGATTCCAGTATCCAGTCTGGTTTGTGTGTGAATGCAAACAACGCCATTCTCACAGCATCCAGGCACCAGAAAGCAGCTGGGTATGGGATGAAAGGGAGAGAAGGCAGCCTGGAACCACCCCCCCCCCAAAAAAAAGACCAGAACCAGTCCCCAGAGCATGTCCCAGAATTCCCTAACGCTCCCAGGTCAGGAGCCAGACCTCTACCTGGAGCTCAAGGGAAGAGGATATGATGAAGGATGAAAGGCAACAGCAGACTCGGATTCTGCTGAGGAACTGCCTCCGAAGCTGCAGCCCCAGCTTTGACTGAAGCCCTTGCCTCCCTCTGGGGCGCATAACCTGGTGTCCTGCTGACCCTGACAAGCCAAGGGTCCTGGGCAATACTTTCCTTCTGAAGAGGAAACCGATTTTGCCAAAAATGGTCCTTGGCTGGAGAAAACAGCGTCAGAGCTGGGAGAGACTGAGAAAGATACCACTCCTCAATGTTGCCTGAGGAAGAATAAGAACTCTGGCATCTGAGAAGCTGAGTGGGTACATGTGATAGCGTCAGTGGGTGTTTCTGATGGACCATCCACCCCCACTCCACCCATTCTAAGAGAGCCTGCAGGCCTAAAGGCCAATATCAGACCTTCCAGAGGACGCTCACAGAGTGCCACAGAGCCTCTGAAAGATTTTGTGTCACAGGTGGGCTCCCTGTCACATGCCATATCTCCCTCAGCTCCTTTACAAGATCTTTCAGCGTCTGAGAACTCCAGTGGGGGGCATCTGTGCTCATGGTGTTGTGCCCACCTTCTGAGTGCTGGCTGGACTGTTTCCTGGAATTGCATTTGAGGTGGGAGAGCAAAGGGCGGTTCCCAGATGGACAGAGACAGTTCCAACTCCAAAGTCTTAGAATGCCCCATTTCCCCTGGGATAATGGGGGGGGGCATAAACCAGCCAAAGGTATTTTCCTCTCACTAACGTTAGAATGACTAGCTTTTCCAGTAACTCCAGTACCCTTTCCCTTAGCCAAGCCCTCCTCATGCTCGGAGAGTCTGCTCAGTACCATCTTCACTGAGCCTTCTCTGACCACTCCAGCCTTCCCCTTGCCCCTCACTTCTTCTGCCCTCGCTGTATGAATCACATATTGGATGTTTATCATTCACCATTTTTGATTGCTAGTTCTCCTTTTCATGTGTGGCTATTAAATTTGATCTCTCATATGCATTGTAAACTTCTGGAAGGCTGGGGTCGTACCCTAGGCCTCTCTGTAACCCCAAGACTATCTCTAAAAGTGTTGCATGAACATAGGTGTTCAATAAACAATTGTTGATTGAAAAACTGTTTTATTACTTAAAAGGGATCCAGGCAGGGTAAATGTGACTAGAGGGAACTGAGCTAAGGGTGGTGGTGGGGGGAAGGATGAAAGCTGGAATTTCCTTTCACTGCAGAACTAGAAAATTCTAAACGTTACTGAAAGCTTTACACCCTCCTCCCCAAAACATTAACTTGTGCATCCTGCCCAGGACTCCTCCCATTTCATAAGAGCTGGGTTTTGTTAGTTGTTGTTGTTTTTATGTATATTAAGTGGGTATTTGTCTTTTTCTTTCATTGTTTGAACTACCATTTGAGAAAGGTGAAGGAGATCTGATTCTTTCCATTGGGGCAAGGAGGAAACCCAGGGTCACAGAAGTAAAGAGCTTCTGCAAGAGTGTTATAGCTGGTATTAGTGCCCCAGTCTCCTGACTCCCATAATAGGACCTTAATTGATCAATGTACCACCTGGTATGGCCCCTCTTGCAATGCCAACTAGAAAGACTGCTTCGTGCTTACACTCCAGAAAAAGACACATCTTAGTTCTACCTCTTCGAACTCTGGAGGTGTGGGGCCTTGTGAAGCAATCATTTGGCCCTGGTCTGGCCTTCCTGGGAATTGGCAAAGCCTCTGGTGGCATTAAGGGAGCTCTGGTGGATTAGAGGTAAGGAATCGCTATGTCAAACCAAAGCTATGCTATTCAACTCCACCAGCTGCTCTGCAGGAAAAGGATAAGCAATCTCCCCCCATGTGATTTGTTGTTTTTGTTGTTAGATGCGGCCCAGTCAAGTATGACTCATAGAGACCCTATGAACAAACAATTGGAACCCTGTCACACAGTTTGATGGTGGAGGGAAGGGTGAGTAAAGGAAGGGGGGAAGATCCAGTGTGAAAAACAATGTATACAAACTTTGTAAATAAACCAGAATTTAAACAAATTATAATCTCTTTGGGACAAATACAAACTTCGTTCTTTCCCAGAATTTCTGAAAGATCCCATCCCATCAGAATCCTCTCTTCTCCTGTATCTTACCAACAAGAATGATTGTGTTAAGCATGATATTTTATTGTTTGTAAAAAGAGGGTGTCATAATTCATTTTACAGCTACCAATCAGTAATATGAAATGTGCCTTTTCAGACTTCACTTTGGACCAAGACAGAGCTACACTGGGACCCAAGGGGACTTACTCTACCTCTGATTGATTAAAAAAAAAAAATCTGAACCCTGTTCTATCCTGTGTCATCCTCACACTTCCCGACACACAAAGCCCATTGCAGCAGTCACCGTATCAGTCCACGTGGTTGAGGGTCTTCCTTTCCTTCGCCAACCCTCCATTCTCCCAGCATTTATGTCTCTCTCCAAGGAAAAACACCTCCTAGCAACATGCCCAAAGTACATGAGGCGAAGCCTCATCAATCTTGCCTCCAAAGATCACTCTGTCTGCAACCTCTCCAAGATATATCTGTTTGTTCTTTTGGCTGTCCATGGGGTGTTCAGTGCTCCTCTCCAACATCACAGCTTAAAGGCATCAATTATTTTTCTGTTATCCTTATTCATTGCCCAGGTCTTGGATGCATAGCTAGTAATTGGAAAGACTACGGCCTGAATCAGTTGCTCCTTAGTCCTCAAACTGACATCACAGCTTCTCAATAATTTGGAGAGGTCCGTAACTGCAGATTTCCCCAGTGCAATGCGTCTCCTTATTTCCTGACTGCTAGTACCACGGGTTTTAATTGTGGATCCAAGCAAGATGAAGCACATGCTTTACAGCATCTGAAAACTCACTAGAGGATCAGTCAGTTCCCACTCAACAGTATGTAACAACAGCATAACTAGTGGCAGAGTTCATAGGCTGCTAATTCAAAGGTGGCATCTCTCTGGCAGTACAAATCCTCCAACTACTCCTCTGGTGAAAGATGGTCAATCTTCTCCGGTGTAATTTACAGCCTCCAAAAATCGACTGGAAGGTCAATTATGAGTTGATTTTCATTCAACAGCAGTGAGAGAGAGAGAATTCCAAAAAAGATGTTGACTGTGGCAACAAGAACTATCATGGTGCCATCCAAGATGCTGGACCTAGAGGGCCCAGTGAGACTGACTGTGCTGAGGATGTCCAGGCAGATAGAAATTGGTTATCAGGCATCCTTATCATACCACACACCTCTTATCCTCCTGAAACCAACCTTGTTTGGTGTCAAAGGACTTCAGCATTTAAGACCATTTAGAGGGTGGGGCAAGTGGTAGGAATACTTATTGCCATCAAGTCTGAATCAATTTCTTGCTGAGCTTCCCAGAGGTTTACAGGAGGCTGTAAATTGCATGGAAGAAGTTTGCTCATCTTTCTTTCATAGAGCATCGGTGGATTCAAACTACTTGCCTTTGGGTTGGCAGTGCAACTCCTTAGCCACTAGGCCACCAGACCTCCTCTGACAGAATCTGGGAAGCGAAAAGATCCTCTGTACAGAAGCTTAAAAAAGAGGTCATGTCTCTGATCTGGCACCCCAGACTCCTTGCTTGAGAAACACTGCAGGTTGGGAGATGGAATTGTCTTTCACACTGTGCTTCGTGGACGTAAGCCTGGTATGGGTTCTGATGGCTCACCACTGGGCAGATGAGGCACTTTCAGATCCTCTCATTTCATTGCAGGGAGTTATGGTGGCCTGGTGGTAAGGAGTTGCACTGCCAACTCAAAGGCACATGGTTCAAATCTACCAGTTGCTCCTTGGGAGAAAGATGAACAATCTTCTCCTCTGCGATTTATCACCTCTAAAAACCCAGTGGAGGGCTCTGACTTGATGACACATAACAATTTTATCGCTTCCTTTAAATACTCCATGGAGTTCTGGTGGCCTAGTGGCAAGAAGTTGTGCTGTAATCCCAGACACGTGCTTTGAGGCCACCTTGGGATCGTGATGGGCAATCTCCTCCTGTGCGATTAACTGCCTCTGAAAACCCACTAGAGGGTCAGCTATGGGTCTGTTCTGACTCTGCGGTACACAAAAATAACAAATTCTCCAAGGAAGCAGGCATTTTACCAAACACAAAGTTGAGGCCCACAGCAGTGAGTAAACTCCCTATAGTCCCAGCATTATGTTGGAGGCCCGTCCGACAAAAATATGGGTCTGGTATTCTAATATCAGTGAATGTGGGAA